GATCACACCACGGCACTTCAGCCTGGGCGACAGAGTCAGACTCCATCTCAAAAAAAAAAAAAAAAAAAAAAAGAAATACCAACTCATATAACTACTACGCTTTAACCTCTCTTTCAATTTTAGATATTTCTGTATTTTTCTTATTTGGCTTTCAACAAAACTAACATAAATTAATTCTACATTAGTTGGGTGTGGTGAGGCATTACCTGTAGTCCTAGCTACTGGGAAGCTGGGGCAGAAGAATCACTTGAGGCCCAGGAGGCTCGAGGTTACAATGGAGCTATGACTGCACACTGCACTCCAGCCTGGGAAACAGAGCGAGTCCTGTCTCTAAAAAATTAAAAAAAAAAAAAAAAAAAAAAAAAATTAAATTGGTTCTTACAGCATTTCCCACTGTTATTTATCTTATAATGAAGAATCATAATTTTTAAAGGGAAAAAGATAAACTCAAAGACAGTATGTACAGTTTAAAGATACCTAATGCTGGGTACCAATAAGACAGTTGCTAGCGTGATTCTGATAAGTGTCTGGGGACTAGGATACATGAGATGCATCTTGGGATTTGAGTATCTGACCCTGCTTTGTCATCAATAGAACCAAGGTGGGAAGCTGGCAGTGCTTGGTTCATGTCACATGTTCAGTGATCAATATTTGGACAAAGAAGAAAACAGCAAAATCATGGTAAGCTATTTGTTTCATCACATGAATGTACAATGTGTAAGTATTATTTTCATGTCATTTAAAAAAATACTGGTAAGTTTATTTGCTCATTTAAAACCAGCTACTCAGAACCCAGTCTGTGCCAGGCACTGAGAATACAAAGTTGAGTCAGGCATAGTCCCTGCTTTGGAAAAGTTTGTAATACATTGAGAGAGAGAGAGACAAATTAGAAAACCCAAAAGGGTGTTTCTGAGCATGTCAGGTGGGGTGGGAGCTGAGCCTGGAGAAGCAGAGAGGAACAAGCTCAACAGCAGTATCACGTGTGAGACCAAGGAGCTCGAACTTGATGCTGAAAGCCACAGGGAGCCCTTGGGTTTTCAGCAGCCTTGGGCATAGCCAGGTCTGTGCTTCTTCTTTTTGTTGTTGTTATTGTTTATGAAAGAACTTCTGGAATGTTTTGGAAAGATTTTTCTGTCAGTTGTGTGGAAGGTGGAGAGGAGGAGGCAGCCTAGTGCCAGTTAGGAAGGCGGTGGTGTCACCAGGCAAGGAAGAATAGGGACCTGAGTATCGGCAGTGAAGGTGTGCGTGGAGAGGAGGGGCCGGTGGCATGGAATGGGAATTAGGAAGGGTTCTGTAGAGGACCACTCACTGACTGATGTGGCAAATAAAGACATTGCAATTTTATCAAAAAAACACCCAGGGAACATGTCTTATGGAGGATGGCAGAGTGGGGAAGCACATGTCTGTACAGCACGTGTCAGAGCTGTCCATTGGTGATTCCAGTGAGAGAAAGAAACGCCCGCCAAACTTTTTCTTTCGTAAAATAGATTACTTCAGCCTTATAATTGTTATATTGGGAGATTGATTAAGACCTTATTTCTGTGGAATTTACATGAAGTTTCAGCGTCTCTAGATACATTATGGGAGATCTAGATATTCTACTTTTTTTTTTTTTGACATGGAGTCTCTCTCTGTTGCCCAGGCTGGAGTGCAGTGGCACCATCTTGGCTCACTGCCACCTCCACTTCGCCGGTTCAAGCGATTCTCCTGCCTCAGCCTCCTGAGTAGCTGGGATTACAGGCGTGCGCCACCACATCAGGCTAATTTTTGTATTTTTAATAAAGACAGGGTTTCACCATGTTGGCCAGGCTGGTCTGGAACTCCTGACTTCAGGTGATCCATCCGCCTCAGCCTCCCAAAGTGCTGGAATTACAGACATGAGCCACCATGCCCGGCCTAGGTATTCTACTTTTCAAAAGTTTTAATTTCAGACTGTCATCACAGTAAACAGGGATTAATTCAGGATTGTGAACAAATGTTAATAAATTTTAGCTTGTGGCTAGAGGTTAGAGTGCTTAAAGATAAATTATAAATTTCTGATAATAAAAGTTGCATTATGCTGGGCATAGCAGCTCATGCCTATAATCCCACCAGTTTGGGAGGCCGAGACAGGCGGATCACCTGAGATCAGGAGTTTGAGGCCAGCCTGACCAACATGGTGAAACCCCATCTACTAAAAATACAAAAATCAGCCGGGCCTGGTGGCAGGCGCCTGTAATCCCAGCTACTCGGGAGGCTGAGACGGGAGAATCATTTGAACCCAGGAGGCGGAGGTTGCAGTAAGCTGAGATCACACCACCACACTGCAACCTGGGCAACAGAGCGAGACTCTGTCTCAAAAAAGAAAATAAATAAAAAGTTGCATTAGGGTGACGAAAACCTTTGAGTTCTCATATGATTTCAAGGCTGGCTACCCTTTTCTGAATCACTGCTTTAATCTTTTTTCCTTTATCATTTTTCTTTATTTAATTCTCTAGTCCTGACTTTCAGCTTTTTCAAATAACCAACTGTCCTAATTATGTACTTTTTTTTTTTTTAGGATGTTGTTTTCCAGTGGCTCACAACAGGAGACATCCACCTAAACCAGATTGATGCCGAAGACCCAGAGGTAGACACTGCGAATTATTAGAAACTTTTAAATGAAAAATGAGTCCAGCTTCTCAGTATCACTTCTAACAGCTCAAAAGGAATACACGTCTGTCTTAATCTGTAAGACAAATGGAAAGAAAGGATGATTGGGGGGGATGAAGGCCATGTTGTAAAAAATAAGTCAATAAACAAAATATGTAATTAATCATAGAATTAATTGGAGGGGAGCATACATACATACAGTATGTATATAAATTAGAATTTAAATTATGGGCACTCTGGCCCAAACTTTCAAAATGAGCATCTGCAGAAAAATACTTTTTTCAGAAGTATGAAATTTTCTCATAAAGAAACAAAGACTATCAGAATTTATGTTGTAAACTATAATTTTGTCGCCTTTAGATTTAACATTTCTAAAGGCATTATGATAATATTCATCAGACAAGTGAGAGTGGTGAAACCAGCACAGCGAAATCACTACTGGCTCTTGGACCTTATACAGGTTCTTTCTGACCATTTTTCATCCTAGTTTTCTTTATTTTTTAAAAAAATTTATTGAGATGGAGTCTCGCTCTGTTGCCGAAGGCTGGAGTGTAGTGGCGCAATCTCAGCTCACTGCAACCTCCATCTCCTGTCCAAGTGATTCTCCTGCCTCAGCCTCCTGAGTAGCTGGGATTACAGACGTGAACCACCATGCCTGGCTAATATTTGTATTTTTAGTAGAGGCAGGGTTTCACCATTTTGACGAGGCTGGTCTCAAACTCCTGACCTCAAATGATCCACCTGCCTCAGCTTCCCAAAGTGCTGGGATTACAGGCGTGAGCCCCCCGGCCCAGCCTTCTGGTTTTCTTATCTGTGAACAGGGGATGCTAATACCTGTGTTCTCTGCCTCACAGGATGATTATGTGGGCTAAGTTAATAGATGGTAATGTGTCAGGCATTGTATGCCATATACTTCCACATAAGTCATCTTATTTAATCCTCTCAACTGCCCTGGGAGGCAGGTGGTCTTATTCTCATTTTATAGATGAGGAAACTGAAATCCTTCAAGATCGCAGTGTGTTCAAATGACAGGCAAGTGCAGAGCCAGGATCCAAATCCAGGTCTCCTAATTCAAACTCTACTTACCCTACAATTGTTTCTCTATTTCTTAAACTCTGAAATGTCAGGAAAATAATTTCCTGGCCATTGGTCATGGGAGGTAGGTGAGAAGACAGTCAAAGATGGCTGTCCACTGACTGCTTCCTCCCTCATCTAGGGACATGGCTTCTCAGAGACTGATTTGGGTTAGGAAACAGGAGAGCTGCATGTCTAAAGTATTTCCTTATATGGAAACATTAAGCATATGGATATTTTGCTTCATTATTTAAGTGTAATATATTTAACTACTCATGGCCAGTTGCGGTGGCTCACGCCTGTAATCCCAGAACTTTGGGAGGCTGAGGCGGGTGGATCATGAGGTCAGGAGATTGAGGCCATCCTGGCTAACATGGTGAAACCCTGTTTCTACTAAAAAATTAAAAAATTAAAAAAAAATTAGCCAGGTGTGGTGGCGAGCACTTGTAGTCCCAGCTACTCAGGAGGCTAAGGCAGGAGAATGGCATGAACTGAGATCGCGCCACTGCACTCCAGCCTGAGTGGCAGAGTGAGACTTGTCTCAAAAAAAAAAAATATATATATATATGTGTGTGTGTGTGTTTGTATACATATGTGTATATATGTGTATACATATATATGTGTATACATGTGTATACATCTGTGTGTATACATATACATATATGTGTGTATGTATATATATGTATATGTATACATACATATTTAACCACTATCCTGTTGGCAGGCATTTAGGTTTTCCTGGTCTTTTACTGTCACTAGTCCACAGCATGTGTCATGACTGAGGGCTCTCAGCAATGCTAGAGGGATGTCCTTGGCTAGGGGAGGACTGGTATCTAGTGTACCGGTGGAGAAACTGTCTGTACTGGTGTCACAGGTACTCTGGCATGTACCAGGAGGAAAGAAGCAGATAGGGCCTGGATGCTAGTGGGTAGGTACATGTTATGGTGGGAGCTTGTGGACTTTCTTTCATGATTTCCTCTATTTTCTTACTAAAATAGAAAATAGGGTCATTGCTAAAATGGTAAAAAGGAAAACCAGTTTTTTTTTGAGACAAAGTCTTACTCTGTCACCCAGGCTGGTATGAAGTGGTTTGATCATGGCTCACTGCAGTGTTGACCTCCTGGGCTCAGGTGATCCTCCCACCTCAGCCTCCTAAGTAGCTGAGACTACAGGCACACACCACCATGCTCAGCTAAATTTTTTTGTATTTTTGTAGTGACAGGGTTTTGCCATATTGCCCAGGCTGGTCTCCAAGCGATCCGCTCACCTCAGCCTCCCAAAGTGTTGTGGGTGTGAGCCACTGCACCCAGCTGGGAAAATCATTTTCATGGCTGAACTGGAAAAAGGGGAGTATTGTCTAGAAGAATGGGAAAGTGGGTAGACTACAGAGATGTAGTTGATTGCTGAGTGCTCAAGATCAGAGATCATGAAATTAAAAGACCAGTTGACAGGGTTGTGTGTTTCTCCAGCTGTGTTCAGCCATGTGAGTACTGGTGTAATTGGAGAGTTGGATTTAGCCAGTGCTGGGGTTTAGCCAAGATAATTTTGTTCCTCTTTCCACATAAATTAGCTTATTTAAGGTTTAGTGGTCAGTGATCATGAACAGTAAAATTTCTTGGCAAGAGAGTATAAATGTTGCAGATTTAGACCTGAGACGGGAGATTTGACAGAATAAATGCTTGTTCTTGCTGTGCTGAAAGGAATCCTCTTGTGGCTTTCAGATTTCTGATTACATGATGCTGCCCTACACAGCCACCCTATCAAAGCGGAATCGAGAGTGTCTCCAGGAGAGCGATGAGATCCCGAGGGACTTTACCACCCTCTTTGACCTGTCCATCTTCCAGCTGGATACCACCTCCTTCCACAGTGTCATCGAGTCAGTACCTGTGGGCCTCTGAGCTACACTGCACTCTATTCTGAGTGTTTGGTTTGGAAACATGAGCCTGGGAACGGGAGTTAGGGTTATAGTAAATGTGGCATACAGAACATGTTCTCAGGTCTGTGATGAGGTCAACAAAGAAACTGGGCTGGGTATGAGGGGTTGATGTAGAGAACTGTGTGTTCCAGATTCTGGACCAGGCATTTAGGGTGACCAGCTTGTTTCATTTTTCCCCAGACTTCTCCTGGTTTCAGCACAGAGAGTCCCAAGTCCCAGGAGCACCCTCAGTAAATGGAGATGGTTGGTCACCCCCATTTCTCCCTGGGTATCTGGGCAACTGGTAATGCTATTAACTGGCACTAAGAATGCAGGAAAAGGAAAATTAGCCAGGCGTGGTGGCAAGCTCCTGTAGTCCCAGCTACTCGGGAGGCTGAGGCAGGAGAATGGTGTGAACCCGGGAGGTGGAGCTTGCAGGTAGTCAAGATTGCTCCACTGTACTCCAGCCTGGGCGACAGAGCAAGACTCCGTCTCAAAAAAAAAAAAATGCAGGCCGGGCGTGGTGGCTCAAGCCTGTAATCCCAGCACTTTGGGAGGCCGAGACGGGCGGATCACGAGGTCAGGAGATCGAGACCATCCTGGCTAACACGGTGAAACCCCGTCTCTACTAAAAAAATACAAAAAAACTAGCCGGGCGCGGTGGCGGGCGCCTGTAGTCCCAACTACTCGGGAGGCTGAGGCAGGAGAATGGCGTGAACCCGGGAGGCGGAGCTTGCAGTGAGCTGAGATCCGGCCACTGCACTCCAGCCTGGGCGACAGAGCGAGACTCCGTCTCAAAAAAAAAAAAAAAAAAAATGCAGGATGGGCACTTTCAGTCTAGTGCAGATGTGCAGGTGGAACTACGAGTTTAAAGATGAAAAGGTCTGTAAGGCCATTAGGGAAGCTGTGGGATGGGATGAGGACATCAGGGACAGCACAAGAATGGGAATTGGCCTTGAGACAGGACCTCACAACTTTCAGTGCTTGAGAGGCAGGAGAAGAGGGCCAAAGACCGAAGCTGGGGAAAAGCAGTTAAATGTACAGGATGGCGGGCAGCATCTTGAAGGGCAAGAAGGAGAGGAGAAAATGACACAAGCAGAGGGGTTCAGAGAGGGGCCAGGGCTCATCTTCACTATTTCTAATCTGAATTTCACTACTCAGGGAGAAAATTTGGTTAGCTTGTCTTCCTTTCCCACCCCCCTGTATCCGGAGACCAAGAGCCATGCCTTATCAACCTGGAATCCTCATTGCCTAAGACCCAGAGCCCAGCACATCCTGGGCATTTGGGGGATGTTTGTGGAATTAACATGCTGCCATTCTCCCCATGCTTTGCTTATACATCCACTCAGCAAATATTTGTGGCACAACTACTGTTCCAGGATCTTGGGATGCTTCAGGGACCTCAATAATGAAAATCTTTGCCCTTTTGTAGTTTATTATCTAACAAAACAGACAGGCATCAAGACATTTCTATATCTGTGATGTAAATTAAAGAATATGTTAGAAGATGATTACATACGTCAAGCAGAATACTGGGGAAGGGGAGTGCCAGGCACATTGCATTTTTAATAGGGTGATCAGGCCAGGCGCGGTGGCTCACGCCTGTAATCTCAGCACTTTGGGAGGCCGAGGTGGGACGATCATGAGGTCAGGAGTTCGAGATCAACCTGGCTAACATGGCAAAACCCCATATCTACTAAAAATACAAAAATTAGCTGAGCACGGTGATAGACACCTTGAAACATGGAGTGGTGAAAACGCAGTGCCAGAGTTCAGTTAGGCTTTAAATCCCAGCTACTCAAAGGCTGAGGCAGGAGAATCGTTTGAACCCAGGAGACAGAGATTGCAGTGAGTCAGGATTGCACCACTGCACTCCAACCTGAGTGACAGGGCAAGACTCCATCTCAAAAAAAATAGGGTGATCAAGATGACTTCATTGAAAAGGTGATATTTGTGGAAAAACTTGAAGGAGGTGAAGAATTTAGCCTTGTGGCTATCTGAGGGAAGAGTATTCTGGGCACAGGAAACAGCCAGTCCTAAGACTGTAAGACGGAGGAATGCTTGATATATTCTAGGAAGAGCAACAAGGCCATTGTGGCCACTGCAGAGTGAGTAGGGATGAGAATGGTGGGAGATCAGGCCTGGCCTACTTGTTTGCCTCTGCAAGGACTTCCTGGGCTTTCACTCTGGGTGAAAAGAGGAGCCACTGGGAGTTCTGAGCAGAGGGGTGGCATAATGACTTCCTTATATCCTGAATGTCAAGGAGCAAGAGTGGAGTTGGGGCCTGAAGGGAGCTGTCGCAGTAATTCAGGCATGAGATGATGCTGGCACCAGCCAGACGGGAGCAGTGGAGGTAGTGAGAAATGGTCTGATTCTGGATGTATTTGGAAGGTAGAGGCAACAAGATATGCTACACAGCTAGGATGTGGGAGGTGAGAGGGAGAAAGCTTGGTCTGAGCAGTGAGAAGGATGAAGTTGGCCAGGGATGGTGGCTCACACCTGTAATCCCAACACTTAGGCCGAAGTGGGAAGATCTCTTGAGCCCACAAGTTCAAGACCAGCTTGGGCAACATAGGAAGACCCCATCTCTACAAAAAAGCAAAAAATTACCCAGGTGTGGTGGGGCACACCTGTAGTCCCAGCTACTTGGGAGGCTGAGGTGGGAGGATTGCTTGAGCCCCAAAGGTTAAGGCTGCAGTGACCCACTCCAGCCTGGTCAACAGAGAGAGAACTTGTCTTTAAAAAAAAAAAAAAAAAAAAGTTACAATAACTGAGTTGAGAAAGACTGTGAGTAGATTTTGCAGGAAGAGCAGAAGTTCAGTTTGAGGTATATGGAGTTGAGATGTCAATGAAGTTTCCAGATGGTGTTGAGTAGCAGTTTTATATGTTAACCTGGTGGTCAGAAGAGATATCTGAGCTATACATTTAATGTGGGAGTTTGGGGGCACACAGCACACATCTTTTCCTTTTTTTTTTTTTTTTTTTGGAGACAGAGTTTCACTGTTGTTGCCCAGGCTGGAGTGCAGCAGTGCAGTCTCTGCTCACTGCAACCTCTGCCTCCCAGGCTCGAGCAATTCTTCTGCCTCAGCCTCCTGAGTAGCACCACCATGCCCAGCTATTTTTGTATTTTTAGTAGAGACAGGGTTTCACCATGTTGGCCAGGCTGGTCTCAAACTCCTAACCTCAGGTGATCCACCTACCTCAGCCTCCCAAAGTGCTGGGATTAAAGGCGTGAGCCACAGCACCTGGCTCTATTTTCAAATCTCTAAAATCAGGATGAATCTTTTTTCTTATTTTTTGCCTGTTTTTCTTTCTTTTACTTTTTTTCTGTTTTTCAGGATGAATCTTAACAATAGATGATGAGCCGGGCTCAGTGGCTCAAGCCTGTAATCCCAGCACTTTGGGAGGCTGAGACGGGCGGATCACAAGGTCAGGAGATCGAGACCATCCTGGCTAACACGGTGAAACCCCATCTCTACTAAAAAAATACAAAAAACTAGCCAGGCGAGGTGGCGGGCGCCTGTGGTCCCAGCTACTCCGGAGGCTGAGGCAGGAGAATGGCGTAAACCCGGGAGGTGGAGCTTGCAGTGAGCTGAGATCCGGCCACTGCACTCCAGCCTGGGCGACAGAGCCAGACTCAGTCTCAAAAAAAAAAAAAAAAAAAAAAAAACAATAGATGATGTATTAGTTTAATTAGCAGCATTTTTTTCCTTTCAGTGAACCATAAACTATGATGCACCTTACCTTTGGTGGATTCTTAGATTTGATGAAATACGGTAGATAGTATTTAAAGCCATGTGACTGGATGAGCTCACAAAGCATTATAAGTGTTGATAGAGGAAAAAAAAGGACCATCTTTTGAGCCCTGGGGCACCCCAGAGTTCAGAAGTTAGGAAGAAACAGAAAAACCAGCTGGGCATGGTGACTCACACCTGTAATCCCAGCACTTTGGGAGGCTGAGGTGGGTGGATCACTTGAGGCCAAGAGTTTGAGATCAGCATGGCCAACATGGTGAAACCCCATCCCTACTAAAAATAGGAAAAAAATAGCTAGGCATGGTGGCACACGCCTGTAGTCCTAGCTACTTGGGAGGGTAAGGCAGGAGAATCACTTGAACCCAGGAGGCAGAGGTTGCAGTGAGCCAAGAAAACACCACTGGACTCCATCGTGGGTGACAGAGCGCGACTCCATCTCAGAAAAAAAAAAAAAAGGAAAGGAAGAAATAGAGGAGCCAAAAGAAGAGATGGAAAAGCAGTAGCCAGTGTGAGATGAAGAAAATCAAGTGCATGGTATTCTGAGAGGCAAGTAAAGAAAGTCTGTCAAGATAGAAAGGGTCATCAGCTGTGTCAGATACTTCTTATGGGTCATAAAAAATGAGGGCTGAGAATTTATCTTTGGATTTAGCAACATGGAGGTCACTGGTGATCTAGACGGAGTCTTTTTTATGAGATGGTGAGGGTGAAAGCTTATTTGGAGTTGGTTTAAGAGAGAATTGGACATAACAAATATAGATAGCTCTTTTGAGGTATTTGCTACAGAAACAGAGCATGGGCAAGGGCCAGGGTCAGTAGCTAGCTGGAAGAAGTAAGGTCAAGAAGGTGTTTTTTAGATGGAAGAAGTCGCAGTATATTTTTATACTGGTGGGAATGTTCCAGTAGAGAGAAAAATGGATAATGTAGGCGAGAGCGAGGAAAATGACTGAGGTGAAACACGAGATAAGCAAGAGACAATGGGAAAGGGGGTTTGGTAAGTGGTCTTCTTAGCTCCTTTTTTTTTTTTTTTTTAAGACAGGGTTCCACTGTTGCCCAGGCTGGTCTGGAACTCCTGGGCTCAAGCAGTCCTCCCATGTTGGCCTCCCAAAGTGTTGGATTATAGATGTTAGCCACCATTCCCAGCCTGGTCTTTGCTTTTGTTTTTATTATTTCATATATATATATATGGTCTTTTTTTTTTTTTTTGAG